GATAGATAGATAGATAGATAGATAGATAGATAATGCTCAGAATCCAAATAGATCATCGATTATAGAAGACTATAGAATTCTATAATAGAATTCTAGAGGAGAGAGAAATGGAGAAGAGAAGAGAGAAGTGAAGAGAGAAGAGAGAAGAGAAAAGAAGGTGAAGAGAAGAGAGAGAAGTGAAGAGAGAAGAGGAGAAAACAGAAAAGGAGGTGAAGAGAGAAAAGGTGAAGAGAGAAGAGAAGAGAAAAGAGAAGAGAAAAGATAGAAGAGAAGAGGGAACTGAAGAGAAAAGGTGAAGAGAGAAATATCAATTTTGGGTGCCTTTTGTCCGAGGCAGAAAGACTAGGGAAGGCCCAGAGGGAGTGGACCACGTTTGGTTGGGGGGGGGGGGGGGTGTCAGTCACACAGATCAAAGGGATTGCCACCTTCCTCCCTTCTCCCCACCCTCCCTCCTCCTCCTCCTCCTCTTCCTCCTCCTCTTTCTCTGAGCTTTGTAGATTTCCTTGGCTTTTCATTCCTTGACCTGCAGTTTCTCCTTCAGGGAAGGAAGAAGAAGGGGGGGCAGATGGGGGGGGCTACACCCCGCCCCCTGAGACCATGGGACGGGAGACCCCCGTTCAATCCTAACAGGGGAGGATGAGGGAGGGGCCCCGAGAAAGCCCCCCCCCTCCCCTGAAGGAAGACTGAAGGAAAGCTGCCAATGTCAGCGCTGGTTTTGGGGAGGTTTTATTGGTATTCCTCTGGCTAAATAGGTGCGGGGCGGGGGGGGGGGGATGCTTGAGGGTATCAAGGGGGGTCCACTTTCAGCTTTTTCCTCCCCAAAAGACAGACCTCCGAGGCCGCAGCGGAGAGGGAAAAAAGGGCATCCTCCTTGCGGGGAGGAGACGCGGCCCTGGAGAGGGTGGGAGCCTCGCCAGCCTTACCTGGGAAGGCTTCTGGCCGGGCGCGCGGGGGTCGCCCACTCCCCGCCTTTCCAAGCCGCAGCAGCAGCAGCAGACGGGCTTCTGATCTAAGCCCACCCCCGGCCCGTCCAGCTGTTTGAACCGGGGCCGAGCGGAGACGAAGCCAGCCAAAGGCTCCGGGGCGCGGGTCCCCCCCGCGGGAGCTCTCCAAAAAACCGGGCCGAAGATGCTCCGGTTGCCAGCGGGCCAGGTGGAAAGGCCGGGGAGGGAGGGAGGGAGGGAAGGGGGGGTCGCAAGGAAAGAAGGGAGGGATGGAGGCAGCCCCGCCAGACTGCTCCTCCTCCTCCTCCTCCTCCTGCGCCGCAGCGCTCCTCCCTCTCGCGCGCCTCTTTTGCGCGCGGCAGGTGCGCGGAGACTTACCTTGAGCGCGCGCGCGCTGGAGAGGTCGGGAGGGTCTCCGCTGGGCAGGAAAGGGGTGGTCGGGGGCCAGCCAGCTGCCCTCTCCTGGACCCTGGGGAAGCCAGGCTGGAAGTTGCGCCCCCGTCCCCTCCATTTGCTCCCATTTCGGAACCCCCCCAACCCCCCCCAGGTCATTTACGCGTTCCCCGCCAAGGGCGCTTTGGGAACGGCGGAGGGCGCGCGCCGCGACGAGGCTGATTGCGGGGGACTGGAGACAAGACGCCAAGCAGGGTTATACAGCGAGTCCTCGACTGACGGCCATTCGTTTAGTGACCGTCGGAAGTGAGAAGGGCGCTGGGAAAAAAAGGGGGGAGCGACTTGGGATTTTTTTTGGACATAGGACCATTTTTCACAACAACAGCCTGTTGTGGCCTCCCCTTGGTCAGATCATTGACATTTGGATGCTTGGCCCCTGACTCGCTTTTACGATGGTCACAAATGCAAGTGGCCAAGCGCCTGGCTTTTGATGACGTGGTCGTATGTGTGAGAAACTTCTAAGTTGCTTCACACACACACACACACACACCGTGCCGTTGTAACTTTGGAACGGTCCCTAAATGAACTGGTTGTAAGTTGTATTGAACAGGGGGTTGAACTAGATAACCTCCAAGATCCCTTCCAGCTCTGTGATTCTATGATTCTGTAAGGGTCTCCTGCTTTAAACAGGGGGTTGGACTAGATGACCTCTGAGGCCCCTTCCAGCTCTGTCCTTCTATGATTCTGTAAGGGCCTCTTCCTTGAGCAGGGGGTTGGGCTAGATGACCTCCCAGGTCCCTTCCAGCTCTGTGATTCTATGATTCTGTATGTTGTGTCTTGTCTCCTTGGAAGATGCTCTCCAGAATGACAACAGCCAAGGAGGAAGGAGAACAACCCCCAATGGAAGTGGGGGGGGGGTAGGGTGGGATCGGGAGGGGGACAGGGACAAAATACATCCTGGTGGTGACCTTTCCTCGGAGTTTCCACCTTCCTTGCTTTTCCAACCGAGTTGGATTCCTCTGGCCTCTGCCGTTGGTTTGAAGGAGAAATTATTTTTTCTTTTTGCAGTGAGCAATGAGGTCATGCGATGGGCTGACCTAATTACTTTGCGCCGGAGGAAAATGAAAAAATAATAATAAATAAATAAAAACGAAATGTGTGGCGTGTGAGTCACCGGGCGGGGTGGGGAAACAGAAGGAGCGAGGCTTGAGGAGTGGGGTGAGGTAGAGACCGTTCGAGCAATGAGAGAGAGGTCGACATTCCTTGATGTCGTTTGAAGGGTCACAACTTGGAGGTGACTGAGCAGAATGTAGAAGACGAAACCGGCTCCCATAGACGTCAAGACTGGGAGAGCAGCTGGGTTCGGTTCATTCAATGCGTGGATTGATCGGAATAGAGCTGGGGGGGGTCCCTCAGAGGTCTTCTAGTCCAACCCCCTGTTCAAGCAGGCGACCCTAGATCTTTTTATTTTTATTTTATATTTAAATACTTATTAAGTTTTTTTTCACTTTAAAAAAACAATCATATATACAATTTTTGCAGTAAGTTGTGGCATCGACTTTTCTGTTTTCATTTACACACGCACACACACACACATATATAAAATTTACATTTACATTTTGCATTATCTTTTATTCCTGTTATCTAACCAAACATACCATTTTCCCTGGACCGTATAATATTTTCTTCCTTCTCCTGCAATTCCATTGTAGATTTGGGGAGGGGGGGTGTTATTTATTTATTTTAACTCAGAGAAGCGACAGGTAGCTTTTGAACTCCAAAATAAAAAAATTAAAAAAATTAGCTTCTCTCTGTTGGGTTGTACAGCAAAATCCTGGGGTGCAAAACTCTGCAGAAAAGTTGACACTTTTCTCATGATCCATTCTTGGAAAATAGAAAAGCCAGCTGTTATAACAAAAAGCCATTTCTATTCCTGGGCAAAACGTGTGAACTTTTTGGCAGGTGGGACACACACACAACGCTCAAGAGACCATAACTGGTTTTGTTTTTAGATGAAGAAAGCTGAAGATAATTTTAGAAAACCTCCCAGCATCGATATAGTTTTTTTCTGGGGTGGGGACCACAATTGACTCTAATAATATCACTTCAAGGGTAATTTCCCTCTCGGAGCCGCCAGGTTGAGTATGTTCTGCTTTCCCTGCAATAGAGCTCTCAGCAGGAGCGAAACAGCTTCCCCACCCAAAATCTTGGCATTGCCTTCTAGTTTACAAGGGCTTAAAAGTGGATCATAGGTTGGAGAAATTAGCTGCATCCAGTTTCCAAGATCTGGCCAGGCTGGTTGGTGGATGGAGCCATCTTCTTCAAGAAGCAACGGTTGGAAACTAAGCAAGGAGAGAAGCAACGTGGAATTAAGGAGAAAGTTCCTAACAGTGAGGACAATTGACCCATGGAACAGCTTGCCACCAGAAGTTATGGGTTGCTCCATCCCTGGAGGATTTTAAGAAGAGATTGGACGATCGCTTGTCTGAAATGGTCTAAGGACCATTTCTGGTGGCTGTCCAGTCTCTTCTTGAAGACCTCCAGTGATGGAAGCACCCACAACTCCTGGTGGCCAGCAGTTCCACTGTCTAATTTTTCTCACTGTTAGCAAGTTTCTCCTTCATTCCAGGTTGCTTCTCTCCTTGATGAGTTTCCATCCATTGTTCCTTTTCTGGCCTTCTGATGCTTTGGAGAATAAACTGACCCCTTCCTCTTCTTTGGGGCAGCCCCTCAGATACTGGAAAACTGTTATCATGTCACCCCTGGTCCTTCTCTTCATTAAACTAGACATATCCCATCCTCCTCCTCCTCCTCCTCCTCCTCCTCCTCCTCC